ATATTAAACCTGAATGTGACGGCTGTGGGTGAACACATAAAGATGCAAAAATAAATGAATAAATAAATAAATAAGTCAATAAATAAAAATAAACAAAATAAAAAAGAGGATGTGTTAAATAAAGCTAAGTTGAGAGACCATAAAAAATTAAATTAAAAAAAACTGATTAAAAAAAAAGCTGAAAGTAAAAACCAGACAATGATTTTTCAGGATTTTTCAACTCCTGAAGGATTTTGAACGTGACAGATTATATACATATTTTATTACTAAGAAGAAAATAAAACAATTACTCGGGGAAGTAAAAGCTTAGCCTTTAAACCACTTTAAATCCATTCAGCAACCTTTTAATTTTTTTTTGAAGCCATGTCTACTTTAATAGCTTTTTACTGCATCATTTTATTTATTATTTTAGTCATTAACACCAGCTTCTTATTAAAAGTGTCACTTTTTTTTTTTAAAAAAATCTCTGGCTTTAGTCTTTTTTAATGTCTTACATAAGAAGAGTACATTTCATGATGCCCCCCTCCCTCCTGTGGGATCTGACTCAGAAATGATTTCTATTTTTTAACCCCCCTCGCACCCCTCTCCCTGCTTCTTTTTGTGTTCCAGACCACTCCTGGCGTGCAGAAGCGGTATTTCCGGCACATCAAGAACTTGATAGCAGCTTTCCGGAAGGAAGGACAGGGACTCGCCATGCCTCTGCTCTTCCCTGTCACGGCTCAGAGCCGGGCTCAGGCCCACACGCAGCGACAGACGCCCAGCGACAGCCCGGCCTCTTATCTCCAGCAGCGTGCCACACCTGTCGCTCAGGGACAGAAAAACAGGGAGGTGCGGCAAGCTTTTGGTTAGGCTGCAAAACCCCCGAACAAGCCCGACTAATTATGAACCAAACTTCTGCATTTGTTTCTTTAAAGTTAATGCCACTTGCCCCACATTCASCCCGTGTTTCTGTGATGGGATGCCCGCTGCTCCTGCAGCGTTTTCTGCACATGCAGCACAGAAGGCGCTGCATAAACTTTCAGAGATGTGATGTGAAATATTGAACTGCTGAAACATTTATATCCATTACTGCATACGTAAGTTGACAACAAATATTGTGCCTCTGTTTTCTTAATGCAATAGTGTTGAGTGAGTGGTAACGAAAATAAATGGCTTTTGTCTAAAATAAACTCTTTTAAATAAGGTCATGCTTACACAGCCGTGCACAGAGCAAAGCCTCCGACTGACATAACGTGGAGGGGAAAAAATTCAATTTGACATATTGAAGCAGTGATTTCCATGGAGAGAATGCTGACTGCCTGGAGGGAGAGGGATGGGTGGGAGGCTTCGTCATTTCCTCTGATTGACAATACTGGCGCCTCATGAAAAATATGAGCGAGAGAGAGAGAGAGAAAGAAGGTGAGGAGAAAAAAAAAACGGCAAGAGCATCCATTCAGCCCAGACAATTCTTCGGTGCAGCCGTCTCCTAGCAACCGCAGCCTCCATCTTTTCCCGCGGCAGGGATGAGCTCGGGCTGGCGGAGCATATGGCGTTCAGAAAATAAATAAGGACAGAGAAGAGAGGAGCCGATCGTCGAGTCAGGAACGTATATCACCTGCTCGCAGTGGGAACATATGCATTGTGTGTCTCCGTCGTCCACACAGCCCCGCGAGCAAGAAACACGACAATTAATGTTGGGCAGATGGTGGAGAGACGGTGGGAGGGGGGCAGACGGACGGGGAGGTGGATTAGCTTTAAAAAAAAAAAGAAGGCAAAAACTTCTCTACTTTTCTTTTTTAAACTTTTAGCTTTGGTGAGGAGAGAGGCTTTGGAAGTGCAGCCTGATTGGCATTTCCTAATGAGAGGAGACAAGCTGTAGAGAAAAAGGCGCAGCCAACTCCAGGTCCTGCCCCTTCTGCACTCACCACCCACTCGCTGAGCCTCAGCTGTCACATTTTTCTCCCTTCCTCTGTGCTCCCCCCCATCTCCTCCTCTTCTTCCTTCTTCTTCTGACAGACGCAGGTTTTTTTTTTTCATGCAGATCTCGGTTTGAGCCGTAATGATGGGTGATAATGGCAGCACAGATTTGAAACGTATAAAGTCCCAGAGACGGGAACAAAGAGGGCCACGACAACAGAATGTGCCACGGGAAAAAAACAAGACAGATACAAGCGAAGGGGGGGGAATAATAAGCAACAGCACCTATAAAATCCCAGGGAGTCATGTGGTAATTCACACATAATAACTTTAATCAGCTTTGTAACCCAATAAAGTGAGCTTTTTTTTTAGCGAGAATAATTACTATAGCCATGTATAATTCTTTGCAAAAATGTAACAGTTTTTTTTTCTCTATTGATTAACAATACCGACACTTATGAACAACAGAACTTCCAGTTGAGCGCTTTTTTTTTCTTCTTCTCCTCCTCAGTGTGAAAGCACTGGCTATGTACATTCTTGATTTTAGTACACACACTCATACAAGCTACAGTTGGAGCACACACCAGAGGCGGAAACCACAGGAGGTTTCTTCTCTAAAGGGGAGTGTCAGAGTCAAAAAGGCCTCTCTTACACAATATGTAAACGATAGTAGATCCGAGGTAAACCATGTGGGAACTCAAATGGCAACCAGAGAGCTCTTACTCTGCGTCACGAACAGGCGACGGGGGTGGGGGTGGGGGTGGCGT